TCAGCTCTTCCTCATTCTGAGTAAATTAGTGAGATGTCAGGCAGTGAATTTCCTGTCCTCTGTGTGTGTTCTCTGCATTCCTTCATGCCTTCTAGATGAGCATGTAAGGTCCTGGATGGGTTATCCTCATCAGTTGTCCTGCATCCCTGGTATTCACTGTCACTGACTACAGAAGCAATGCTATTAGGCCATGATTGCTCATGGGCTGGATTTGGGACCTTCTTCCCAGTGGGTAGTTGACGGGTAGACATTACTGCCTAATGCTCTTGCCCAGTGTAAAAGGAAGCAATGAAGACGCCTTCCTTCTGCAAAGTACTTTCTCCTATAGCAATTCAACATGCCTCAGGTTCCACATGGCCTGGGGCAGGGGGCTAGGCAGTGAAGGACAGGGTTGCAATGCAAGCTTTCACCTGGTCTCCTCCTTCAAGTTCCCAGGGGGAGAACAATGCTGGGTGGCTCGTTCTTAGGGAGGAGGAGCTTGCTACTCCCTTCCAGAGAACAGGGAATGGGAAACACAGAAGTCAGTGCAGACATTAGGATGAGAGTGGCACGGCTTCCGTATTTAGGAACATGACAGAGCTTTCCCTCCCCTGCAGAGAGCTACCCACTGGGCCGTGTGGTTGTGGGCCCCTACATGTACACCCGAGGCAAGGAGCTGGAGCACTGGGAGGAGATGCTCCGCAAGCCCAAGGAGCTGGTGAAACGTTGGCATGCACTCAGCCGCTCCACGGAACCCTGAGCCATAGCCAGGACCTCATTCTGCCTTGGAAACTCGTGTCCTCATCAGTATGTGCAGCACCACATCATGGCCATCTCATCTAACTCTTGGTGCACTGTGGGGCCAGCCTGAGCCAGTGGTCCATGAGTGTTCATGTACAGGAAGGAAGAGGGACAAAGCCCAGCTTAGGCCGGTATCTGGGGGGCTCCTGATCTAGGCTGTGACCTCGAACAGGGTCTCAGTTGTTGAGAACTGATGTACTGTTTGGTGGAGCACAGCCGCATATGCTGGGTGGGAGTGTGGCAAGAACCGAGTCCTACCACCCTGGAAAGCTGGTGGTGCGGAGCCCACAGCTGCGTAGTCTTTCAAGCTGGAGTTTCTCTGTCTTCCACCCAGCAGAGCAAATACACAGCACTCTGGGGGCACATCAGGGAGAGACCTGTTGAGCAAGCAGCCCAGCCACATACGAGGAGGCCAGCGAGTGATCAGCACAGTTTGCTGTATAGCCCCTTCCTAGAGCCATAACGCGTGGCCGGCAAAGTCCTATGAAATCTTGCCATACCTCACACTTTAGTCTTTCAGGTGACATTTTGTTGAGTTTTGGGGTCACCTGGTTAACAGAATTTGGGCATTCTGCTTTTCCCAAAGTCAAGAAAATAAAGGATAAAAACATTCTGAATCTATGAGACAGCAGCAAAGGGAGCATCCCAGGAATATGTGTAAATACCGAGTGAGGCAGTATGAATGGATACAGCATTATTTAAATTAAGCATGGCAAATCAATTGTCTGGTTTTAAAAAACCATGAGTGTTCTTCTTCAAGAGCTCTTCCTCTGTGGGTCTTGACTCCAATTTCTACAAGAACTGTGACATTACCCCAAACTGCCAACTTTTACGGTTTGACCCAACAATTCAACAAACGTTTCCAGGGGAAAAGTCCCTAAGTGCTATCATGGCTTCAATGTGTCTATCTTTGCTGGGCTGCCTTGGCAACAATAGTCTCCAGTTTCTCACCTCCCAAGCTCCAGAGACGCTATAGCCTTTGCTGCCCGTAAGGGCGTGTGCTCAGCCTCTCAGCCCAAACCAGAAAGTTCCTGGAGAGTGGTCCTCAGAAGTCACTCCATCTCTGAGCTTCCCTCCTGACTTTGTGGCTCTTTTTTTAAAAAGGTTGTCCATACGCCATTCAGCCTTTCCCCTTGTTAAGGTGAACATCCATCTGCCTCTAGCAGAAAAAGAAGTCCTTTCCCAGAAAAAGCATGCCCAGCTGGGGATGGCAGAATGGCAGCAACTTGGGAGGTAGAGACAAGGGAACTAGGATTCAAAGAAACCGTCAGTAAAGCAGTGGGTAAGCACAGCTTGTGTTCAGTTGGCTCTGTGCTGCAATCATGGTGCATATCAAACGACCACAGCTTCTCAGTGTTTACAGTATGAACACTTTGTCCTCCGCATCTGTGGATTGGCAGGGCATGACCTTCCCAGGTGAGGCAACTCGTTCTCAAGCTGCAGGTCTGGCTGGGATGGGCTCCTCACCAGGCCAGCGACACAGTTGATCACACTGAGCACTGGCTAATTTGGCAGCACTTTTCAAGGTGAAGGCAGAAGCATATATCTTTTTTTGTCTTCTGCTTATGATATCCCTGCCCTGATATCCCTGGGCAGAAGCAAATCACATGGCCAAGCTGAAAATCAAGGGTCAGAGAAGACATGCCTTTTTGCACAGCTACAGAACAATGGGCACAGCTCCAGGGAGGGGTGGAGAATTGGAGTGGATAATCTGAGGTGGCCACAGGAGCCTGTGCTCCCTCCTGAAGGTGCAAGCCCAGGGGAGCAGTTGCCTCCTGGTCTCCGTGTCATGCCTGCCAATTTGGCATTCCATAATGATGTGTTGTAATTTGTTCAGTCATTTGCCAATTATGCTTTTCTTCGTTTTCACTATGGAATGTTTGCCCAAATTACTGCAAGAGCCTTGAGCATCCTGTACTCATAAATGTCAGAGAATAATTATCAGAGAAAGGAAGATTATTTTTACATCTTGCTACTTTCTGGTCTCACTTAAGTGCCCCCAAATTAGGAAAATTTACCTGCAATTCTGCTCATAAGAGTTTGAGAAATATATTTTCAGAACTGGTTTTCTTTTCCAGACAAAGGAAATCTCCCACTAAGAAAAAAAAAAAATGTACAGAGGTTGGAGCAATGTTGCTGCCAATGGACACTGAAGCAAAACAAGGTCATGGAATGGTGGGGAAGACAACCTCACTGAGAGTGTGGAAGCGCTCACTGCTGCAGCTCCCATCAGCTATAGCTTCCTGCCCCTTAGATGACCTTCCTCCTTACCCTATCCACGTACCCCTGTGGCAAGGTGAGGAAGGAAGGATGGATAGAAACAAGACAGGAAGTGTGGATGACTGTATCACACTAAACAGTCCGCCTGTGGAACTAGAAGCTACTGCAGGAATTTTATTTTATTTACTTACTACTAATAGTGATCAAAACAGTCATAATACTAAAAAAAGAAAGAAAGGAACCATGGGACTTGCTCTAAGTCTTTATCTAACGAGCAGGAAGAAGCTATCTATCTGCTAAGAAGATCTGAATAGGTAACTAGAAAAATATAATGAAATAATTCACTGATTAGATTCCATCTGCCCAGCTCCTTCAACATAACTGACAAATTTCTTAATTGAATTTAGCATGTAATTATAAAAACAGGCTATAATCCCTGCCCACTATGTTCCCCTAATACTTATTATGGAATGATTTGCCCAAATCACTGTTTGCTTTATGTTTCAGTTGTGGAAGGAAGGAAGGAACTACCCCTTGGGAACCGAGTGAGGTTTTGTATATTAGCTGCATGCCAGCCCAGGAGAGCTCTCCCTCCCATAGGTGGAGGAGAAAGGGGGATGCGCTTTCATCCTCAGCTGAAAAGCAGCACCAGAGCTGGAATCAGATTCCAGATGTCTGAAAATGCTGCTCAGCACTGCGGCACTTCGCGGTCAGGGTCTTTGGAAGGTGAAATCTCCTTCCTGTCTTTCTCCTTAAACTTCTCACTTCCTCCCATGTTTCTGTGTAAATTAACTGTTCATCACTAATGATGAAGAACAAAATTGGCCAAATAACTGCCTTGGTTCTCTTGGCTTGGGCTTATACTAGTTTGCTGATTTTTTTTTTTTTTTTTTTTTTTTAGGCAGGAGTGAGCAAAGAAGGTCCACCAAGGGGACCCAGCCTCCAGCTCTTAAGTGTCCTGGGCAGGAGGGAGCAGGCACATGACTGAGAGCCTAGCTGAGCCCCACTGATGGTGCCAGAGGCCTGGACACTCTGGTGTGGCTTCCAGCTCAACCCTGGACTCAGCACAGCCTTCTGTGTTGCAGCTCCACCGCCCTCTACTGTTTAGCATCATGGTTACCACACTATGGCTGCTCAGTAGACTAGCTCTTACAGTAAAGCAAGTGGCAATGGTTGGATTTAGAGCCAGCAGGTCCCAAAAGGCAACTGTCCAGGGGTGGCCCTTCTCAAGCACTGCCTTTTCCTCCCTGATTTCTACAGTAGTTATACTTGTCTCTCACCACCAAGCACTATATAATATATAGGCACATATAATACATGTAATGTCGAGAGGTGTATGCTATTTCAGTTTGCCTTCCTTCACACTATGCTTCAAGCATCACTATCCTTGTGTGCCAGCTATACCCTCCTGTGAACCATATGATGCTGTCTATGCTTATGGACTTTGTACTTTGGAACTATTACCTGGAGTGTAAGGATTCCTACATTCTCACCAATATTGATCTTATTTCCTGAGCTACTAGAGTCCTTCCATGAGACACTGCATTGTGCAGCCAGACCAGTCTGAATGTGCCAGGAAGTGCTTGCCCGTGCCTATATCTTGGAAGTATTTTCCTTGTGTTTTCTGGTAGCACTGTCAAAGTTGCAGATTTTAAAGACATTGGCCCACTTTGAATCACTTTCTGTACAGGATAAGAGACAGGTAGCTAGCCTCATTCTCATGCAGTTTATCTGGTTTTCCCAGTACCATCTGTTGAAGTGAATGTCATACACATGCCAATGTATGTTCTTAGCACTATTGTCAATCATATGGCTGTAACTACAAAGGTTTATTGCTACTTCCTCTATTTTATCCCATTTATCTACAAATCTGTTTTTATACCATGCTGCTTTGGTCACTGTGGCTCTGTAATAAAATTTGAAGTTAGATACTGTGCTACCTTTACCATTGCTCTTTCCTTTTAGGTGGCTTTGCTCTAGGGTACTTTTGTTCTTCCATATGAATTTTAGAATTATTTTTTTCTAGAAACTCACTGGGATTTTGTTAAGGACTACAGTGAATATCTAGCTTGCTTTCAGTGATACAGCCATTTTAAAAATACTAATCCAGTCAATTAACTAACTAACATGACAGTTATTTGTGGAAGGAAGACACAATACTCTAAATAGAAACATTTGTCCCCTCCCTTTGGCTATCAGAATACTGAGACAATGGATGCCAAGAAATTGGAATTTCTTCTGAAGTCTCATGCTAATGAACAAAAAGGTTGGTACCCTATTTTTAGTCAGAAAGGATGCTTGTCTTCCAGAAAGAGACTTCACAGAATGCTGACAACCTGGAGGATAGACTAGGGGCCAGGGGCCAAGAGCCAGGAGTCAAAACAGTAAAGTGTCATACTGGGCCAATGATGAATATGACCACACCTGACCTGAATTAGTGACCTATGCCTCTTGCTCTTTATTTAAACCTAAACCTCATGTGAGGACCACAAAGATAGATCTAGAGGATGGGTGGACCACTTTGTTCCTCTTCAGAATGTTGACTGTACCTTCAACCCAAGAGCCAAACAAACCTTCCCTTCCTTATGTTACTTTTGTCAGGTGTTCTTTCATAGTGATAAAAAAGCAATTAACTCGCCTGCTACTTTAGCAACTTTACCAACAACACTGCATCCCTAGCCTGGCATGCACAGTTATAATGAAGAAAAGCAATTTCACAACTTATTAAGATAGAAAAAGCAGTAGTTTATAACAGAAAAGTGACTTCTGAGGAAATGTCTTACATGTTGCTCTTCAATATTTTGTGCCTTGGTGCATCAGGATCTAAATGAAATGGCAAATGAGGCACTCATAATTTCAAGGAAACTGTGATATACTGCCTTTATTGCTAGATCATTTCCCCAGAATAAAAAGAATACCAACGACAACAAGAATGAAAATAAAAACTTCACAGAATTTTCTTAGAAAAAAACAATTTTTATATATTTATCACAATTATGCTAATAAATTATTTATCTTTAAAACTCTAAGCAAAACCCATGTCATTTTATTTATTTTAGAAGACAGATCATAAGGTTGGATGGCTCAGAAGTTAAGGGCACTTTCTCAAAATCTACATGACGGCTCACAACCATCTATGTTACTCCAGTCCCAGGTGATCTGGCACTGAGCCTCTCCTGGTCTCTGTGGGCACCAGGCACATACATGGTACACAGACATACACAGGCAAAACACTTATATACATGTAATAAGAATACATAAATCTTCAAGGGACAGATTATTTCATCACTCCTTCCTTGAAATGCCTCCTATGTCTTCCTCTGGCCTTAGAGGAAGTCCTGGGCTCCACGTCTTACATGATTCAGGACAGAAATCTAGTAGGGAGAAAGTCTGTTGCAATGGGTAGCTATTTTCATCCAATTCGAAAAGGCTCTGAATCTTCAACACGCAAGGTTCTGCACTGACTGCCAACAAGGAGTGGAGCAAGTCCGCTGCAACTATGCCGTAGGTGACCTCCGAGGAAGGTACTGAGGAAGAACAAAACACACATGCCACTCAGGACTAGCTTCACAGAGGCACATTCTAAAGGTTTTCCTTGTTTCCCTTGGTTCCTCAAGCTTCATGCACATCTTTATTTCTTGTTCTATACCTCTTTCTAGCTTCAAATTGTTGAAGGTAGTCTACAAAGACGGCATGCTTCCTACTGCTCATGAAAGCAAGCACAGACAATGCTCAGACTGACAGCTGCTCCAGACATCAGCTTCTGAACAGCATGAGAAACTGAGGTTCACACTTGCAGGAAATAAGAAGGGCATGTCATCGGGGGCTTGAAAGACAGCTCAGCAGTCCAGAGCACCTGTTCTTGCAGAGGACCTGGGTTTAACTCCTTGCAGGGAAGCTCACAACCATTCCTAACTCCAGTTCTAGGGAATCCAATGCCCTTCTTAACCTCTTCTGGTGTACAGACATGCAGGTGAACAAAACAGTCAAACACACAAAATAAATTTTTAAAAAAGGGCATGTATATCTCAAAAAAAGGCTTCACTCATACTTATCTTTCTACGGTTTTTAAGCATATAAGTACATATACAAGCTGAGCCCAAGTTTTTGAGACTAGGACATTTTTGGATGCTAGATTTAAAAAACAAACAAAGGAAGAAACAACAAAACACCCCCAAACATTTATAAATACATAATAAGTTATCTTAGGGATAAAGACTCAAATCTAAACATGAAACTTACTGTTTCCTATTTTTGCCTTAGATGCTCAACTTTTTATTATCATGAAGAGCAACCCACTATTACATACTATTACAAAACTAAGCAGAAGAACTAGATTAGCTTGTCCACTTAAGGAGTCTAAGGCTAATGAGGACAGGCATGGAGCACAATTATCTGACAGTGGGATGTTTGATTTCTTCTTGGTCACTGACTGACCCTGGCATTACAGCTGAAGATCTTAAAAATCAATGCCAATTATAGATTGCTTTCAATGCATGGCACTACACATTCCTTTTTTCTTTTTTTTTTTTTTAACTATTGTGAGACTAGAAACCTAGTGGTTTTACTAACCAATTAGGAATTTAAGTGCTTCTTTTATTCCTGTACAAGACAGATGTAAGGAGATCTCAACTTCCAACGTATGTAAGCTTTTGTGTTTCACTCCATCTAAACCACCATTCTACTTTAATACTGACAAGGGTGGAAGGGGGACTCTCTATTTACAACAATGTACTCTTTTGCCGTGACTACTCCTGTACATATTTCATGCAACAATTACTGGATAGTGTGTTGCTGTTTTACCTATCACTCTGTTGAGGATATCCGGAGAAATGTTGAGAAGAATCTGCTCCAGCATCTTTGACCCTACATGAATACAAATATTATGTCCTCCATCAGCTATGGTCATTAAAGCTGGCCTACAAAAATAAACAACAGAATTTAGAATCAGATTCTTAAATAAAAAGGAATTTAGTGAAGCAAAGACAAAACGTGACTGCAGACATCACCCCTTTTACCCACATAACTCAGGGTCCTTTCATCTCTATACTCTAGTCTCTGCCCACCTCTGCCTCTGCCTCTGCCTCTCATTGCTCTTATTCTCTCTCTTTCCTTCCATTCTTTATTTCAACAAATACAAACTAAGTCTCTATTATGCACCATGAACTGGGCTAATGCTGGTGTACACTTGTGACAAGACAAATCTGGTTCCTTCGTCCAAAGAACGTGGGAATCTGACAGGAAAGGGGGTTTTGTTTGTTTGGGTATTTTGTTTTATTTTGTTGTTGCTACTGTTTTAGTTGATTGTTTGGATGGATGGCTGGATGGCTGGCTGGATGGATGGGATTTTGGTTTTGTTGGTTTGGTACTAGGGATCCAATCCAGAAGCTCTTGCATGTTGGTTAAATGTTGCACCATTGACCTTTACATCTAACTCCAAGATTAGAATTTTTTATTTACAGTGGACCCAAGATGACTCAATGTGGGCCAGAATAACCTTTTCAATAAATCATGCTAAACACATATGCAGGAAAGAGGATACAACTGGACATCATGTTAAATAAAGGAGGCCAGATTCAGAAGGACAAATACCACATCTTTTATTTTATACAGAGAACCCATGCTAAATTTTATATAGCCTATCTATGTAATTACCTATACTATACAAACTACATACAAGTTTTTAAATGTTATATTTATAAAATCAGAAGAGAGGACTAACTGGATGAAGAAAGAGAATCAGCTGGAGCTGTACTAAGAGGCATAGGGGAAAGAATCAAGTAAGAACAAAATATAATGATACAAATATATAAAGATGCCATGATAAAACCCACTGCTTTGTATGCTAACCTAAAAATTAATAAAATGGATACTTTTTAAAAATTCATTCTAGGACAAATACATATCAATATTCAAAAGAAGGAAATTGGACTTCCTCCTTCCACCATACAGGGAAATCAATACAGGGCAAATTACAAATCTAAATATAACAGCTAAAACTATTAAAACCTTTGAAGAAAAAGTTAAGTATAAACCTCCATGACCCTGACTTAAGACAAGCATCTTTATATCTGACACCGAAAACTCAAGTAACAGACATTGAAACAAAAGACCTACCTCAGTAGCAAGGATGTGGGGAGAGTGTGACCTTCACCTTGCTTCCTAGTAAAATGTAAAATTACACACCTGCTTTGGAAAACAGCTTGGCCATGCCTCAAGTGGCACACAATACAGCAAATACACTCCTGAGAACAGACCCCAATTACTAAATCTACATCTACATAAAAACATATATACATGTTCACAGTAGCCCCAAGGCGGAAACCACTCCAGTGTTCAACAACTTATGAATAGATGAATGAAATAAGATACACATACAGTAGAATATTACTTTGCAATAAAAACAAACTATGCTAAGCATATATGTCATTTAGTATACTTTCCTAGCATACATAAACCCCACATGCAACTCTCAGAACCACAGAAACCAGGCATGATGATGCATACTAATAATCCCAGAACATGAGAAGTACAGACAAGAGGATCAGAAGTTACAGCCATTAAGTCTATTACACAACAAGTTCAAGGCAAACCTGGGATACATGAAACTGTGTCAAAAAAAAAAAAAAAAAAATGAAGATCCCAGAGACTCATACTCCAACCAAGGACTATTCATGGAGATAACCTAGAACCCTGACAATGCAGCCACTTCTGATGAGAACTGATAGACTAAGATCAGAAAGAAGGAGAGGAGGATCTCCCCAATCAGTGGACATGGGGAGGGGCATGCATGCAGAAAGGAGGGGAGAGGGTGGGACCGGGAGGGGAAGAGGGAGGGGCTTATGAGGGGGATACAAAATGAATAAAGTGTAATTAATAAAAGTTAAATAAAAAAACAACAAACAAAAAAATTAATAAGTTGTAATTAATAACAAAATAAATTAAAATTTAAATACAAACAAAACACTTGAGTGTAAATAACAAAATAATATAAAAAATAAATTTAAAAAACCTAAAAAAAAAAAAAATGAAGATCCCACTGGAGCCACTGAGGTAAACTGGGTGCAGGAAAAGTCAAGCGTTATAAAGGGCCCCTCTGATCAGACTAGGAAGAAAGAGGAAAAGGATAAGGTGTCTGGCTTCTGAGCTTCTTGATGGAGCTGCTCGGAGCAAAACCCAGTACCAGGACCACGTGTGTGTAATGGAGGGAAAAGAAGTTATAGGCAGTGCTTTGGACAGTGACAGGACTCCTGAGAACACGGCTAAATTCTCTGACAGCCAATTTCAGAAAGCTACCTTTGCATAGCATTTTTGCTATGGAGGGAAAAAAAAGACAAAAAGAACCAGAGAAAACAGCTCTAAGAACCAAGAGTTCAAGAAGTCAAGGAACAAAGTCAAGGTAGATGAAAAGTGGACCAGTCCCAAGACAAAGGGGAAAAAGAATCCATCTGAACTCAGCCAGAATGGCTTTTAAAGGCCTTGAACTCCCTGAGACAGGCACAGGCTGGAATCAGTGCAAGTATTTCATGCACTGGAAAAAAAAGAAAACTAGAATCCCTTCCTCTCAGGCTCTGAGAAACCAACAGATCCACAGAACTCCAGCCAGCCCAGCCATCAAATCATAGCTGGATATTCCATCTCAGAGGCAAGGTCCTAAAAAAAAAAAAACCCAGGCAAAGCCCAGACATGAAAAAGCAGTGGTGAAAAAGGGTGTCCATCTTCATTCTAACATGAGGTGCCTGCATCTGGGAAGACCAAGTTAGTACCTTTACCTCTCCTAGCCCTGGACAAGCATTACCTATATCTCAAAGGCCACTGTCCCTGGTTTCATGGATACCCACAGCAGCTTATTTGGCCTGACCGCATTCCAACCCAGCTCAGACCTACCATAGTCAATCACCTTAACCAGCTCCAGCTAACACATATTTGATGGTCCTGTCAAACCATCTGTGCCAGTGTCAGCCAGTGGCATCTGACAGGGTCTGACCAACTCCACCCAGTCTGGCATCTCTTAGTTGGCTGCTTCTAGGCTTACATCCTGTAAGACATTAGCTTGGGCTTTTCTTCAGAAGGAGCCTGTTTCCACTGCTTATGACCAAGGCCCCATCACCTCCAAGGTCTTAAATCTAGTAGTGAAAGACTTCAGCAACCAACCAATTCCCTAAGGGAAAGCTAACATTCCAGGGACAATCATATCCCATTACAAAAGAGCAGAGTCTGGAGGGGTGGAAAGATGGCTAAGCAGTTAAGAGTACTTGCTACTTAGTTTCCAATCATTCATAACTCCAGTTCCAGGATATCTATATCTTCTGTAGGAAACAGTCACACACATGTAGGAAAAATACTCATAAAATAAACATAAAGTAAAAAAATAAAAACATTTTTAAAAAAGCCAAAGCATGAAATCATAAAGAGGGAGATTCAACGAGAATGTGAGAATGCTACCAAATATACCTCTTTGGGGAAACAGAAATTTCTTCCTCAGAAGGGAAAAGACAGGAAATTTGCTGATATTATGGTTACCTAGAAGGTTAACATAGGAAGATGACAACTTTAAGGCCTGCCTGGACTACAGAGTAAGTTCAAGGTCAGCCTGGGCAATTTAGCAAAATCTTGTCTCATAACATAACAGGTAAAAAGAGGACTAAATATAGCATTTGCCTAGCATGTGGCCCTAAATTCAATCATCTGGATTGAAAAACAAGAAAAAAAAAAAGTAAAATTCATTCACTTACTTGTTTTTATTTTATTTATTTAATTTTGTTCATTCTGTTGTTGTTAAGACAAGGTCTTGCTCTATATCCCTGGCTGTCCTTGAACTTGAGAGCCTACTTTAGTGTCTCTATTACTGGGACTGCATTTGTATAGCCCCATGCCCAGCTTTATTCACTTACTTCTGACAAACACAGATATCTATAAAGAGAAATAAGGGTAACGGACCAAGCTTCTGTGCATTCTTTTTATGTATGTCATGACAAATGAACCGCTGAGTACGGAGGAAGATAAAGGCAATGCAGGTGACTTAGGAAGTTGTTGTACAAGGACTGAGCTTGAGACTAGCCTGGGCTACCTAACAAGACCCTGTCTAAAACAACACAAAAATAAATAAGTAAAACAAAACTACTAAATACACATGCATTTACTTTTAAGATACTTCACTATTTGTAAATAACTGGAAAGACATAAAACATGTCACTTCTAGTCCTTTGTAAAGGAATGAAATTTTATGATTATAAAAAACAATTATTCAAGACTTTGAACACTGATCTGAAAGCGGTGTGCTTTTCACTGAGCTAGTTAACAATTTTACCAAAGAACATACATTGACTAGCTTATCTTTTACTTAAGTAAAGGTGAGAAACTGAAGCACTGAGGGCTAAACAAATATTTCTCAGCCTCTGCAAACAAGTCAGGGAGAGGTCACATAACACTTTTAACCTTTACATTGTCATTATATGCCAAGACAGGGAAATGGGCTAGTGATAAAACAGTCAGATACTGATTAAAAGTGAACAAAGTGTTCAGTACAGCTGTTTAAAGAAACTGAGATCTAGTTAATACTGTAAACAGTCAAATTCATCACTGGGAAATTCCTGATTTCATATAAAGTTATTTGTCACTCAGGGAAATTTTATTCTCCTGATTTAGCTCCTGGTTAGTTATATTATAAATGATTGGTATTTGCAGTTCTTAGTCACTTCCAGTCTTATGCAATAAATATTTTCTATCAAATCATACTTTGCTGCCTTACCTATAGAAGGTTTTCCTCCCAGCAAATGGCAAGCAGCTCAGACACTGTCTGTAGACCCTGTTCTCATCTGTTTCTAGTTCTGATCCACACTGTGCACAGCCAGCATACGTAATGATGGAAAGAGAAGAGAAAATGACCTTCAGAGAGCTGCTAGCATTCAGAGCTATCTTCTGAGCTGCTCCAGCAAAAAACACCAGCTCTGAAACCTTGGCTTTAATCAGAACCACTCCTATACAAAAAAGAAATATTATATTTATTAGATACAACAATAATTTTAGTTGACAAACAAGCTAGCAATATGGTTCATTTACAGTTACTTATAGTATAGGTTACATAAATCTTTCTCCTCCTCTACCACCACCTTCTTCTCCTCTTCTTTCTTTCTTCCTCTCTTTCTTCCTTTCTTTTTTGTTTTTCTTTCTTTCTTTTTTTCTTTCTCTCTTTCTTTCTTTCTTTCTCCCTTCCTTCCTTCCTTCCTTCCTTTCTTTTTTTCTTCTTTCTTCTTCTTCCCTTCCTAGTGAATCTCAACTCACTTATGGCTTCCATAAAGAACCTAAAATATAACAAAGGATTTGCCTGCAACTGAGTGAGTCTGAGTTCCTAATCAGGCAGTGGTGGCAGGGGTAAGGGGAGGAATGGGTTATTATTGTTATTTTTTTTTGTCATTCACTGTAACATCAAGCATGTTAACTAACTAACAATTCATTTATCTCCTAAATATAGACTGAATATCTACTATACCTACTATGATCTTTTGATCCTAACGTATTTTTACCTTTCTGCATTCTAGGATAGCCTATGAATCTATCTGAACATTACTTTCCTCTCCATACTCATTTAAAGGTTTCTTTAAGCCTTCAGATTTATTCTTTGTTAGTTAGTTTTCATCATTAAAAGAGATTATCTGACATAATGTAAAAGCAGAGAAATGTATTTGGGTTCCTGGTTTCAGAGGTGTCAGTAAAGCCAGGGTGGGAGAGGACAGCAGATCAAGGCAGCTCACATCACAGCAGCCAGGAAGCAGAAGAAGAATGCTGGTGCTGGCTGGAGTTCTCCTTTCCCTCTTCCACCCTCTGGGCCCCCAGCCTATGACATGCTGCTTTAGGCCTTTCCCCTTGGTATACTGTCTGGAACTACTCCATAGACTCATGCAGAGTTGCACTGCACTAAGTTCCTATTTTAATCCAATCAAGTCAGCAATCACAATTACCCATCATGATCTGCTAATAAATTATAGATCAGGATGTATCATGTTAGTCCTTGTTCTATTTTCTGACTATGTCTTTTGGAGTTCAATGGTGGTGACGCTCCTTAATGTTTTTCATTTGCCTTAGTGTCTTGGGACCCAGAAGTACTTTCATCCTTTCTACTACTCAGGCCATATATCTCTACATGAGTTAGTAGTCACATATCTAATAAGCTGTAGCTAATTCAACACTACACTTTCCACTGACATGTTCAATCACACACATAAAAAATTAAAGAGAAGTACAATCATTTCAGAGGACTTCATATAATTCTTCATTTTACATATTTGCATTTACATATGGCCTCTTTAAAAAAATTAAGAGGGCATTCTAAAAGTGGACATTGCTTTCAGAGGTATTCTAGAATTCTAGGCACTAAAATTCTGCTTACAAGGAGAAATTTTCAGTTCTTTATAAGGAGCCATCCTTCTCTAGCTTTCGTTAGCAAGCAGACTCTCTTGGGAAATCTTCCTAATTTGGCCACAGCTACTTCAAGTCTTAAAGTGGTATAAAAGATATCACTAACCCAACACCCATCCCAGCCACTCAATCAGGGGATTCGGGGAAAAAAAGACACCCAAACACCAGCAATGGTTGTCACTATAATGGGCATGTGATGGTGAGATGGGAAAGAAGGAGTACTCAGTGGAGAGATGGAAGAGAAAGAGAAGCTGATAGAGAAAGGTGGGCCTTGGCAGTAAGGAACAGGCAGATATGAGAAGGCCATGATGAGGGCCTAGCACAGGAAGACACCAAGGGCCATATCTGGGTCCACGGTCTGTGTCAATGTCTTTGGCCTGAGTTACCACCAATGGCCAAGTGGATGTCTGCAGGCTAGGCTGCCATAAGAGACTATGTGGACATCTAAGAGCCATGCTCTGAGGTGGGGGTTTGAGGGGAGACACAGACAGGACATAGTAATCTTTTTGGCCTGAACTGCCACCTGAAGCCATGGGGTTTATTTTGGTTCACAGTTCAAAGAATGCAATCCACCCCAAAGGGGAAACTATGATCAAAGGAGTGAGGCAGTTTGCCCACTGTATCCTCTAGAAGACGGGTACTGGTGCTCAGCTTACTATCTCTTTTTTCCAATTTTATTTACTCAGGACTTGAGATCATGGGATGGCGTTACCCACATTCAGGGTGTGTGCTCCCTCCTTAGTTAAACCTCCATGGAAACAACCTTACAGACATATCCATAGGTTATGTCATCTTGTGAGTCTCAATCCAATCAAGTTGAACACCTGACCTCAGAATGGTAAGAATAGTCTTTGTGTGCCAGAATCTAAGCTGACTTGGATCAGGATGCTAATATCTGGGCTTCTTGGAGATCTTGACTAAGTACAAATGGCCCGAACATAGCAGAGACAGAACAACCCCAAGAGCCCACACAGGGATGGGAATACTGTCTTTACCATAGGCTAGACTAGAAAAATCTTACAACTTACAGAGCACTGGAGAACCCAGACACTTCACTTCACAGAAAATTCATGGCACTAATGAACCACACTGGTGGTGGGGATGGGGTTAGGGGTGGAAGTTGTCTTAATCTACATCTTAAATAAGAAAAAGCAAAAGCAAAGTAGGTAGAAAAAAGGAAATACCTAATAGATGTCTACAGAACTTTTCACCCAAACTCAAAAGAGTATATACCTTCTTTTCAGCACCTCAAGGAACCTTCTCCAAAATAAACTATATAGTGGGCCACAAAGCAAGCCTCAACAGATACAAGAAGATTGAAATAATCCCCTTTATTCTACCTGACCACCATGGACTAAAGCTGGACCTCAACAACAACAGAAATAATAAAAAGCCTACATGTACATGGAGACTGAATAACTCGCTACTCAATGACAGCTGGGTTAAGGAAGAAAAAAGAAAGAAATTAAAAACTTGCTAGAATTCAATGAAAATTAAGGTACAACATACCCAAATGTATGGGATACAATGAAAGCAGTGCTCAGAGGAAAATTCATAGCACTAAGTGCCTTCAAGAAGAAATTTGTAACATCTCATACAAGCAACTTAATGGCCCAACTGAAAACTCTAGAGAAAAAAAAAAGAAGTAGATACACCCAGGAGGAACAGACAGCTGGAAATAATCAAACTCAGGGCTGAAATCAATAAATTAGAATCAAATAAAACTATTCAAAGAATCAATGAAACCAAGAGCTGGTTCTTTGATAAAATCAACAAGATAGACAAACCCTTAGACAGACTAACTAAAAGGCAGAGAGAAATTACCCTGAAATCAGTAAAATGAGAAATGAAAAGGGAGACATAACTACAGACACTGAGGAAATCCAAACAATCATTAGGTACTACAAAAACCTGTATGCCACAAAATTTGAAAATCTAAAGGAAAGGGACAATTTTCTTGATAGATTCCATCTACCAAAATGAAGTCAAGACCAGGTAGAAAGATTGAATAGTCCTATATCCCCCCCCAAGGAAATTGAAGCAGTCATCAACAGCCTCCCTTCAAAAAAAAAAAAAAAGCCCTGGGCCAGACGGTTTCAATGCAGAATTCTACCAGACCTTCAAAGAAGTGCTAACTCCAATTCTCCTCAAACTATTCCACAAAAATAGAAACAGAAGGAACATTACCAAACTCATTCTATGAAGCCACAGTCACCTTGATACCTAAACCACACAAAGACCCAACAAAAAGAGAACTTCAGACCAATCTCTCTTATGAACAATGATGCAAAAATACTCAATAAAATACTTGCAAACCAAATCCAAGAACACATCAAAGATATCATCCACTATGATCAAGTAGACTTCATTCCAGGCATGTAAGGGTGGTTCAATATACAGAAATCCATCAATGTAATCCACCATATAAACAAACTGAAAGAGAAAAACCACATGATCATCTCCTTAGATGCCGAAAAAGCATTAGACAAAATCCAACACCCATTCATGTTTACAATCTTGGAGAGCTCAGGGATACAAGGCACATATCTAAACATAGTAAAGACAATATACAGCAAACATAGTGAACATCAAACTCAATGAAGAGAAACTTAAATCAATTCCACTGAAATCAGGGACAAGGCAAGGTTGCTCACTCTTTCCATAGCTCTTCAACATAGTACTTGAAGTCCTAGCTAGAGGAATAAGACAACTAAAGGAGTTCAAGGGGATATAAATCAGAAAGGAAGAGGTCAAAGTTTCACTATTCGCAGATGATATAATAGTATACACGAGGGAGCCCAAAAATTCAACCAGAGAATTCCTTCAGCTGATAAACACTTTCAGCGAAGTGGCTGGATACAAAATTAACTCAAAAAAAATCAGAAGCCCTCCTGTGTACCAAAGACAAAAGGGCCAAGAAAGAAATTAGGGAAACAACACCTTTCACAATAGCCACTAATAACATAAAGTACCTTGGTGTGACTCTAACCAAGCAAGTGTTCAAATCTCTGAAGAAAGAAATTGAAGAAGATATCAGAAGATGGAAAGATTTCCTGTGCTCATGGATCGGTAGAATTAACACAGTGAAATTGCCAAAAGCAATCTACACATTCAATGCAATTCCCATCAAACTACCAACACAATTCTTTTCAGACCTTGAGGAAAAATTCACAACTTCATTTGGAGAAAACAAAAAACCCAGAATTTCCAAAATGATCCTGTACAATAGCAGATCATCTGGAGGTATCTCCATCCCTGATCTCAAGCTGTACTACAGAGCAATAGTAATAAAAACTGCATGGTATTAGCATAGAAACAGAATGGTGTGTCAATGGAACCCAATAGAAGACCCAGAAATAAACCCACACAACAATGGGAACTTGATTTTTGACAAAGAAGCCAAAACCATTCAATGACAAAAAGACAGCATCTTTAACAAATCATGCTTGTCCAACTGGATGTCTACATGCAGAAAAATGAAAATAGATCCATATTTATCATCTTGCACAAAACTAAAGTCCAAGTGAATCAAAGACCTCAACATAAAACCAGACATACTAAATCGGTTAGAAGAAAAAGTGGGGAAGAGCCTAGAACTCATTGGCACAGGAGACAACTTCCTGAACAGAACACCAACAGCACAGGCTCTAACAGCAACAATCAATAAATAGGACCTCATAAAACTGAAAAGCTTCTATAAAGCAAAAGACACTGTCATCAGAACAAAACAACAGCCTACAGACTGGGAAAGGATCTTCACCAACCCTATATCTGACAGAGGGCTGATATCCAGAATATATAAAGAACTAATGAAGTTGAAAAGCAACAAATCAAGCAATCCAATTAAAAAATGGGGTACGGAGCTAAACAAATTCTCTGTAGAGGAATACCGAATGGCAGAGAAACACTTAAAGAAATGCTCAACGTTCTTAGCCATCAGGGAGGCGCAAATCAAAACAACCCTGAGATTTCACCTTACACCCATCAGAATGGCTAAGATCAAAAACTCAAATGACAACACATGCTGGAGAGGTTGTGGAGAAAGGGGAACCCTCCTCCATTACTGGTGGGAATGTATACTTATATAACCACTTTGGAAATCAATCTGGCACTTTCTCAGACAATTAGGAATAGTGCTTCCTTAAGAACCAGCTATACCACTCCCAGGCATATATCCAAAAGATGCTCAAGTACACAACAAGAACATTTGCTCAACCATGTTCATAGCAGCTTTATTCATAATAGCCAGAACCTGGAAACAATCCAGATGTCCCTCAACAGAGGAATGGATACAGAACTTGTGGTACATTTACACAATGGAATACTACTCAGGAATTACAAACAAGGAAATCATGAAATTTGCAGGCAAATGGTGGGATCTAGAAAAGATCATCCTGAGTAAGGTATCTCAGAAGCAGAAAGATACACATGGTATATACTCACTTATAAGTGGATACTAGACCTATAAGATAGGATAAACATACTAAAATCTGTACACCTAAAGAAGCTAAACAAGAGGGAGAACCCGAGATGAGGATCTATCAATCCTCACTTAGAAAGACAAATGGGATGGACATTGAAGTAGGAGAAAACAAGTAACAGGACAGGAGCCTACCACAGAGGGCCTCTGAAAGACTCTACCTAGCAGTGTATCAAGGCAGATGCTGAGACTCATAACCAAACCTTGGGCAGAGAGCAGGGAATCATATGAAAGAAGGGGGAGTTAGTAAGATCTGGAGAGGACAGGAGCTCCACAAGGACCAAATATATGAGGGCACGGGGGTCTTCTCTGAGACTGATTCTCCAACCAAGGACCATGCATGGATATAATCTAGAACCCCTGCTCAGATGAAGCCCATGGCAGTTTAGTATCCAAGTGGGTGCCCTAGTAAGGGGAATAGGGACTGTCTCTGACATGAACTCATTGGCTGACTCTTTGACCTCCCCACTCCCGAGGGAGGAGCAGCCTTGCTAGGCCACAGAGGAGAACATTGCAGCCAGTCCTAAAGAGACCTGATAAGATAAGGTCAGATGGAAGGGGAGGAGGACCTCCTCTATCAGTGGACTTAGAGAGGGGCAGAGAGGAGATGAGGGTGAGATTGGGAGGGAATAAAGGAGAGGGATACAGCTGGGATACAAAGTAAATAAATTGTAATTAATATAGAAAATTTAATAAAAAGGAAATAATGCAAATTAGAACAGAAATGAATAAAGGAGAAAACAGAAAACAAAAATCACTAAAAGGTGATTGCAATCAACAAAATGAATAAAAATAGAAAAACAGATCCAAATTACTAGTACCAGATAAGATCAGTGGCATTACCTATTCAAAAATCAATATTCAAAATGATAGTAAGCAAATGACTTCATATGAATTTTTGCCATGTCAATAATTTAAATGAACACATTTCTTAAAAACTACAAACCAAAATTCAGTCAACAAATAGATAATCTTAACATCCCTGAATCTATTAAACACATTGAATTTATAGTTAACCCTTTCCGCAGTAGAAACCTCAACCCTGGGATGGTGGTGTAAACCTGTAATCCTAGACCTGAAGTGGCTGAGAGCATGAGTTATGAGTTGGAGGTTAGGATAAGCTATATAATGACAGGCAAAACATAATTATACATAAAAAATATTAAGTAATCCTTAATAGTTTAAAAGAAAAACTCAGAGTTGGAGGCAGAAGACTAAGAAATCAGTATCTGGTTCAGCTATTTATAGAAGTCTACATTTTACTTTCACATTTAATTATACATATATATATATACACATGTATATATACATATATATACATGTGTATATATATATACACACATATATATGTATATATATATATACACATATACTCTCACAATGGTAGCGTCTTTGTTTACACTAAAACTAGCAACATTTTATGTATATAAAGATCTTACCTGAATGCTTATCCTTTAGCTGAGTTGATAAATCTGACATCTTGACAGGTGAGGGTGTATTTTTTTTAAATTTTGCTTTAAATGAAACTGCTCTTGTATCATCATCAAACAAGCATTCACAGGATGACCACAGTGTTGTATGTAATTCTAAGTTTTCTAGTATGCAGTTGCGCTGAACAAAAAGGTACTTAAATTCCCAAATACAACCTTAAATAAAAACAAAAAGTTACCAAAATAAAAGGGTCTATGCTCAGAATCAGATTAAGTAGTCTGACCTAATTAAATCACCTAAACGTAATTTTTATCACTAAAGAATTTGGGCAAAGGAGACAAAACATAGCAGTGTATTAAATGAATTTTAAAGCTACAGGCTTTAAGATTTTTGAGAGTCTCTCTATATAGTACAGGCTGCTTTGAGCTCTTCCTCCTCTGCTTCTGCATTGGAATTGTAGGTGTGTACCACCACACCTGGCCAGATAGCATCTTACTAAATCTTTTCTAAGAATTTCCGAAACAACTGCCTTTTAGAATAGCACATTCTAATTTTGAGATCTATAAAGTTTACTATTTTTTTTTTAACTAGTTGAGTCTTTTTAAGGGATATTGAAATGGGCATTCTAATTCCCTCAGTAAGAACTAATTTAGTTGTTTTGTTTTTGTTCAGATTTGACAAATAAGTCAACGAGTCTATATAGACAGCATCATTAGATAGACAGTAGGTACGAGTGCTGGGACTGGATAAGGTCCTCTACCAACAGCCTACAGCTGGCTACCAGAAAAAAAAATTGTGCTGAGAAATTTCCTTTTGCTTCAGTGTACTTTTGAATATACAACAGAAAATATCTGACAAGGAAGTCTGTACTGCTGTTATTTAAAAATTAAACTGTTGGTTGTTGGTAGACTGCCCAGCATGCATGAGACCATGTTTGATCCTCAGTGTGCAACTGAGCATAGTTGCACACAGTTGTAATACCAGTCACTTGAGAATCGGAAATTCAAGATATTTCTCAACTACTTAGTGAGCTAGAGGCCAGCCTGGGCTACTCCCTGTCTCAATAACAATGCAAATCAGTCCTTACTAAGGCTATTAGAATAGGTGTTACAGTGTTGGCACACCCTTTCACTATTGTGGCTCTGGAGAAGTTAGCCAAGTAAGAGAGCGAGATTGTTTCATCAGCAAACTATTAGTTATGGCAGACTTCAGGAAGGTTTTGAATCAATTCATATCCACATTTGAATTAAAGATTTAGGAAATATTTTGGATTACAAATGTTCATGTCAACCTGTGACTTTGGATAATATATAATCATAAACTGGGGTTATTTTGCATTGTTCTGCTTAATTAGCTATGAGAGTACTATATCATAATTTTTATGTATTTGAAATGGTAACTGATGAAAATGGCATTTGATTCTGAATAAATTATTTTATGCTCACCTAATTTTTCTTTTGTTTGTTTATGACAGGATCTCAAGTAGCCCAGGCTGACCTCAAAATACCTATTTACCCAAAGATAGCTTTGAACTCCTGATCCTTGTGCTTCTACCTCCCAGTGGTGAGAGTATAAGCAATTACTCTTAAGAAGTTTGATTTATGTTGCTAGTGTACCTTCACTAGAATCTAAGCTGTGACCAATACCTGCTATATACAAAGTAGGCCAGCTTCCTGCTAGCAATGCAGATTTCAAAGGAATAAAACTTTGGGATTTCTTCCTATTCTTCCCCAAAACATCAATTCCATTATCTCTACTACTGAATAATAACTACTTGGTAAAGCTGGGCAGTGGTGGGGCACACCTTTAATCCCAGCACTCAGGAGGTAGAGGTAGGCAGATCTCTGTGAGTTCCAAGCCAGCCTGGTCTACAGAGCGAGTTCCAGAATAGCCAAGGCTACACAGAGAAACCCTGTCTAAAAAAAAAAAACAAACAAACAAAAGAACTACTTAGTGACCATTTCTCATATAGGCTAAGTTTGTTATCCTTAAGAGTATGGAGAGGGCTGGAGAGATAGCTCAGAGGTTAAGAGCACTGACTGCAGGCTGGAGAGGTGGCTTAGAGGTTAAGAGCATTGTCTGCTCTTCCAGAGGTCCTGAGTTCAATTCCCAGCAACCACATAGTGGCTCACAACCATCTATAATGTGATCATCCCTCTTCTGGCAGGCAGCTGTCCATGCAGATAGAGCACTCGTATACATTAAAAGAAAAAAAAAAAGAAGAAGAAAAAAAAAAAAAAAAACGGGCACTGACTGCTCTTCCAAAGGTCCTGAGTTCAATTCCCAGCAACCACATGGTAGCTCATTATAATGAGATCTTGTGCCCTCTTCCGCCATGAAGGCGTACATGCAGTAAGAACAATGTACACATAATACATAAACCTTAAAAAAAAAAAAAAAAAGTATGTGTAAGCCTTACTTACATGCAGTAAGAACAATGTACACATAATACATAAACCTTAAAAAAAAAAAAAAAAAGTATGTGAAAGCCAGTACCTACTACAGAGGCAGAATGGAGATGGCCTCAAAAACTGCTAATGAGTATGTAATTTTTCTATCAAAAGAAATTGTCTTGCAGTATTGAAGATGTTGAAACTTAAAATGATAAGAGTATGCATAAATTTAGGATTAATCAGTGAATTTAGCAAAAACAGTTTATATCAAAATTCCTGGATTCAAAGGTTTTCAGTATTAATTAAAAAGCCATAGAATTATCTAGAGATATTAATAATTTTTCTTTTATTACCACGATTGTTAACTCTAAAGAAAGAGTCACATTAAGAAAAGAGCAATGTATTCTGCTACACCACCACTCTACCTTTGACCTACATTTTGTTTAGCATGCACTGGACTCGTGCTCACGGCTGAGATAGGATGGTCAGCGATCATGCCTGTCATCGATACATGTTTGTCAAATTTCACAACTGGACAAACATCTGTCGCTATTTGATCGTAACATAAAAGCCAGACTTATCTCAAGTCCTAGTTACGGGCTATTAATGATTAAGAGACAATGTGACAGATCTACCTCCAGATAAGCACTTGGGCAGATGTTCGGAACAGCATTAACTCATTCAAGTATGAAACAATGAATGAGTTCATCAGTGTCTAAATTATTTTGCAGAATAAGGCAACTAAAAAAACCACTAATTAAACTATCTCTGGTTGTTAAAATTGAATCACACAGTACTGAAGGAAGATACTATACTAATTTATTGAAATATCAATCCCTTTTAATTTAATGCACCATATACTAACTTGTGTTTTAAAAAATATACCACTGGATTGTTTTTTTTTTTTTTTTTAAACAAGCTTTCTATAATGGCTAAAAGCTCACAATTTTGAACTGGAATAAAAACCCAGAACATGATAATTAATTCAATAATTAATTAAAAACTGAATTGAAAGACTTACTGTACCTCCTAATACCTGCCTTCTGACAGAATTTATTTATAAGAACACTCTGACTGAAAAAAAAAATTAAACTACAGATACTTCTCCATGATTAAAAATTTGAAGAACATCGCTGAGGGGCTGGAAGGATGGCTCCACAGTTGAAAGCATGCTCTGCTCTTGCAAAAGACCTAATGCCTGACACACATCAGGTAGTTGCAACTGCAGCTCCGGGGAATCTGGTATCTTTTTCTGGACTACTGAGGCACCTATACTCACATGTAAATACTCACATACAAACACACACACACACAATTTAAAAATATTAACAATAAATCATTTTTAAAAAGAACATTATTTGAAGGAGATGTTTTACTAATGCCCTCATTTAGTAAGCATGAAAACATGCAAGCCTTTATTTTGTTACCATTAATTACAAAGGACTTCTAAATAACTAAATTGCTTTAAGTATAAAATCATAGCAAGAGAAATTTGCAGAGGAGCATCCAATCATTATTATTGCAAATGCAGTAATCTCTTCAAAGTCTCTGTGCCTCAGACAAATAAACATTAATCATTTACCAAGATATAAATAGTTTAAATGTTTTTTTTCCAGTTTATTTACCTTTTTTCTTTTGAAGCTGAGTATACCAGGCTGCTCCAGGACCCCATAATACAAGCACATAATGTTGACCTTGAGCCTGTTCCACTGTTAACAGAATTTTCCTTTGCTTCTGTCCTCTATAACTATATAATGCCTCTGGAAAAAGAAAAGGACATTCTACTTGGTATTACTCTGTTTGGGTGACACCACAGTATCTCATGGTAAATACAGTGATAACCAAGATGGTCTTGCATATTAGTATTTATAAGCTAAACTTAAAAAGGCACTCAAAATATTTACCTGTCAAGACAGTGACATCCACTACTCTGAGTACTGCATGGACTAATGTATCAGGCTGCAGCTGCTCCAATTCCACAAACTCTACAGTGTTCAACTTCTGAGGCTGCCTTTGAGGCAGATCTTTGAGATAGGAATGTTTTGAAGACACATATGCCAGCAAGTCCTGAAGTATAACTCTGGCAACTACATTGGAATCTAAGGAAGCAAAAAACACAAAAACATAGACAAAGTATGCCATCATGTTTTCCTGGTAATCATAAATGGGAAAATCACAGCTGTGGTGGTTTGAATAAGCATGGCCCCATAGGCTCATATATTTGATTTCTTAGTCATCAAGGAGTGGCACTACTTGAAAAGGACTGGAAGGTGTGGCCTTGCTGGGTAAAGTGTGTCACTTCAAGTAGGCTATGAGGTTTCAAAAGCCCACACCAGGCCCAGTAGCACTCTCTTCCTGTTACCTGATCACTACTATCCATAACTTCAGGTCCAGAGGGTTCAATGCCCTATTCTACACGATGCACATACATATATGCAGGCAAAACACCCACACACATAAGATAAACAAATTAAAAACTAATAATAAAATAAAATGCATTGTTGGATACATCAGAAAGGCAAGTATAGCTAGACGGGAGAAGCTTTTCTATAGCCAGGATGCTATGACATACTCAGCTTTGGGGTTGAGAGAAGCTAGTGGTCTGGTGAGTTATTAGATTCCACCTTATGGGTTTTTTTTCCTATCCGTTACCACATGATAGTTTTGAAATAGAAATGGTTGTTCTGGAGGGCTAGAACTAGCCCCAAATAAGTAATTAGCCTATGGACTAACTTACCACATTCCAATGTCTTCACAGTACTGAAATTCCTATAGTTTGGTAATGAGCCTAGCCTATAACTTCTGGGACACCTCTCCAGACCCACTGTATTGAAATGCTAATCGGTCAGTCTCTATAATCACAGCTTCTTTTCAGGAGTTTTTGTTCATGCTATGAATAATATCTTCTTTGAACTATGTTTTATGTTATGGTATTTAAATACATATGAAATACTACTTAATTACTATAAATTATGTAGCTTTTCTAGACTCAGTTTAGACCAAAAAATAAAGGTTGATACTATTAGGCAACAGAAACTTATCATCTCCAAGAAATTCACTATGTTCCAAATCTACAACCAGGCTTAGGTTTACCATTATGTTTTATTCTCCCATGACCCTAGAACTATCAAGTGGGCTCCCCAGTCTCTAGAATCTAATTTGATCCCACCTTTCCCAGCTGTCCTGACAACAGCCCTGCATCAACAAGTTCCTTAGCAATCACTTTTGAAATGTCCTACAAGCCTAACAGACTCTGCTGTGCCTGCTCTACACCATCCCAAGTTTAGGAGGCTGTCCTTATCGGTTTCACGATGCTATAAAGTCACCACATTCCTCTTCCCAACCAAATTCTGCACAGCACAGCAACCATATACACAAGATTCTTCCTCCCCTAATTCTCATTTAAGCATGTGTTACATAATAATGTTTCTTTTAATTCTAAGAACATCCACTTAATACCATCTAACACTATGGTAATAATACCATCTAACTGATTATACCTTCCTGTTTCAATGGTTTTAACTTTTTAGATGATTTTATGTGTATGACTGTTTTACTATGTACCACATGAGTCCCTTGTACCCATAGAGTGTGTCAGATACGCTGGGATTGGATTTATATGTGTGCTGGGCCTCAAACCAGGACTTCTGTGCAAAATACATCATAGCCACTGAGCCGATTCTCCAGACCCTATTTGAAATTTTGTGGAGACAAACTTTACAACTTTACATATAATAAAATATACATATTTAGAAGCACTGACTGAACCCATAAGATGCTCAGCAGATAAAGGAATTAGCTTTCAAAACTGATGACCTGAGTTCTAATGCCAGGACTTACACGATGGAAGGAGAGAACCAACTCAGCTCTCAGAAGTGGTCTTCTGAATTCCACACAGGCATCCCATCCCCACAAACTAAATAAATAAATAAATATTTAAGAGTATGGATTAATGAGCTTTTCTGATCAAATTTAAATTCTCCTGAAGGAAAGGAAGATATGTTCATATACTTATGGCCAAAAGAAGATGTTATCCATATATATTTTGTTGACTTTTAGAAATCAAGAGTTTATAGACTAATTTATGATCCTTCTTTCTTTCTCCCATTAACATGATCATCTACCGCTCCTCCATCTGCTACACTAACATCTGATTGTTTACCCACTCACCAGAGGATCATGTGCTGTGTGACAGGCATTATATCAAGCGCTAAGGATACAGAGAAAAACTGCATCACAATCTCAACACAGAAAGAGTTATTGATTGACCTAGAGACAGACGGTGATAAACACTCAGGACAGAGTGTAAACTGAGGACAGGACTGATTCTTAGTCAATTGCTTACCTAGCAGCTGGGTGTCATTGGGCTCTATCCCCAGAACCATAAATGGTCAGGAAGAATAGAAGAAGGGGGAAGGGGAGCTAGGAAAAGGGAGAAACATTCCTGAAAGCAAAGACATAGAAAAAGAACTACTTAGAAGACATTGGGTAGACTCTCCCGGGAATAAACTGGAGAATGATGGGTAAAGCTATGAGAAGAGATGAGTAATTGCTAAAAATCTCTAGTACAACAGCAAGGCAGGAAATACACAGTCTATCTTAGAGGGATTAGTATGGTCTAGTGAGCTTCCTCCTCGAAAAGGGGGTGACTGGAATCATGCTTAGGACAAAAGCCCTCAGAAAATAGTTACTGCACTCTCAGTAACAGATATTTTAAAGAGAAAAAAGAGAGAGAGGAAGGGAACAAAAGCTGTATATGACAACAGCTGAGGAAGAACAGATGTCCTAGGAAAAGCCTTTGTTCTCAGCATTTAACTGGAGCATCAGCAAGACATTGGTTTAAGAACATCTCCGCAGTTTCAGAAGCTTGGATCTTGAGACCCTCAATGACTCACATTCCTGGGACACTCAGAGAAAATGTCATGAGACTAGACTCTGAATCCTGACCAGGAGAATACTTCTACATTGAAGGGAAGAAACATGGGATTAAGACTCCACAGCTCAGGCTGGAGAAATGGTTCAGTGGTTAAGAGAACTGTCTGCTCTTACAAAGAACTTGTGTTAAATTCCAGCACCTCATGGCAGCTCACACAGTCTGTAACTCCAGTTCCAGGGCCTTCGTCTGGCCTCCATCTGCACTTCATACATGCAGGCAAAATACTTATACATATAAAATAAAATATAAATATTGTAAAAAAGAAAAACTTTGTAGCTCAATGAAGGAAATAGGGCCAGAGACAGAGACTACAGGGTAACATGAACACAGGTTCCAAAAAACATTCAAACATGAAAAATGATAGCCCAGTAATGAGATCTGCATTCTCAACACAACTCCTGAATGACTACCCAGAAGTATGTAGGACCAGATTTGCAGCTTACCTGTAAAGACCCACCGACAGACCAGGATCTGTGACCCAATCTCAACCTAGAAAAGACTGCCTAGGCAAGAACAGCATGTCCATACTGACCCCAGAAGGACCACAAGAAGGGGTGACCAACCACTGACACCTCAACTATACCATAACCAGGCCTCACTGGAACATTAAGAATGCTTCCTTTGAAAAATACAGCAAATAAAAACATCAAATCCAAGGAATGAAATAACCCAGATGCAAAAATCTCAATGCAATAATATAATTATAAATATTACATGTATATACAAACAATGCAGCACAACTCCACCAAAAATCACCAATCCTCAAGTAATAGCCTCCAGGGAAAGTGAATCATATGAAACCCCAAACAAAGAAATCAAAAGGACGATTGATTATAAGTATGTTTAAAAGTCAAAGAAAAAATCCTGAATGAATCCCAAAACAAATACACACATACACGTGCACACATACACAGAGAGAGAGAGAGACAGAGAGAGAGAAAAAAGGAAGAGAACTTAATAGATAGAAAAGATAGATGAATCCCATAAACAGAACTACTGAGAGGAAAAACCAAACTGAAATACTAGAAATGAAATCACAGTAAGTTAAATAAAAAGCTCGGTGTAAGCTTCAAGCCTCACCAACAGAAAAGATAAGAGGACTGAATAAGCTTAAAGGCAAAGTAGAAAAATTTAAATATTCTAAAAAGAAGACAGATCTATCAGAGAAAGTAAGAATGACACTCTCAAGCCATCTGGGACTTTAAAAAGACCAACCCTAAGAATCATGGGCATTGGAAGAGAAAGTTTTCATTCTAAAGGCACAGAAAATATTTTCAACACAATCATACCAAAAAAAAATTTTTTTCACTCAGCCAGACACAGTGGCACACACCTGTAATCCCAGCAACCAGCGAGGGAGAGGCAGGTGGATCTCTGTGAGTTCAAGGCCAGCCTGGGCTACAAAGTGAGTCCAGGACAGCCAAGACTACACAGAGAACCTTGTCTCAAAAAGCCAAACAACAACGAATTTCATTCAATTATGTTTTGGAAAAGATGGCAATCCAAATACCAAAGGCATTTAGAACATTAAACAGACAAGCTCACCAAAGAACCTCCCTCATCATATTAAAATCAAACTACTGAATATATGGAACAAAGAAAGTATATTGAAAGTAGCAAGAGAAAAGTACAAAGCCACATATAAAGATAGACCCATTGAAATAACAGCATATTTCTCAACAGAAACTTACAAGAAAAAACTTTAAAATAAATTATGCATTTGTGTTTCCAGACTATTATACCCTCAACTATGTCATAATTGGAGAAAGAAGAAAAACTTCCCACAATAAAACCAGGCTAAAAGGAATTCATGACCACTAAGCCAGATCTACAAAAGATACTTGAAAAAATTATTTGGACTGAAGAAAAAGACACATGCACCAATAAAACCACAGAAAAGAACAAGCTATGCTTGAATAAGAGTAAGCAAGAGAAAAATAGGAACACACAAATCGCTGTACAATCAACAAACATAGCAGACTAACACTTTTCAGTAATAACTCTGAATGTAAATTGTTTCAACTTCCCAGTCAAGACACAGGATATAAAGGACAATTTCAATTATTCCTTGCTTTACATATGATTACTATAGCATAAAGCTAAAATAAGTAACAGGAGAAACCTTAGGACATACACAAATTCATGAAGATTAAACAATACACTACTGAATAGTGGACACTTTGTTAGATTTATTACTGTATGTTTGTACCATATTAATTTTGTAAAAAATTATTTTATTTAGTATTAGGTGTTGAATTCCAGAAATCCAACTGATTTTCATGTTTATATTTACATATAGTTACCATGATAAAATCTCCCGTTATTTCTCATAACTTTTAAGAAAGTCATTATAAGTCGTATCATTTACAAATAATGTTTTACTTCATTCTTTCTAATCTTTGTGTATCTTTTCTGTATTTTATCTCACTGGTTAATATTTCTGAAATAATGTTAAGAGTGATAGCAGTAGTATCCTACTCTAATACCCAAATCTTAAAAACAGATTTCTATTATATTTTCAATTTTGATGATTTTTTTTCCCTTGGGTTTTGTGGTGGTTTGAATAAGAATGTCCCCGTAATAAGTTCATATATTTGACTACACTCGGGTCTTTGTACTTGCACAACAAGCCTTTACCAACTGACGCATCTCCCTAGCCTAGTTTTGGACATTTCTTATTGAATTTATTCTCAAGTACCTTCCTGCTCACCACTACAGAGCAAGTTTCAGGACAGCCAGGCCTACTCAGAGAAACCTTGTCTGGGGGTGGGGGAACTCTAATCTATTAAGTTGTCTTATTTTGTAATTTTTCTCCTTAATTTCTGACTTAATATTATGAGTTTACACTTTTGGTTTCCATGACTTAGTTAATTGTCTTGCAAGTTTTCTGAGCTTAATTTTAGTCTTTAATTGTTATTTGTAGAAGTGTTTGGCTAAGAAATACTGATCTGTTAGCTGCTTTAAGCATACCTTCTGTGCTCCAATACATATCATGGCCATTACTTTGTAACTTTTATATCACTCCTTTAAATCCAAATTAGTTTTAAAAGTTTCAAAACTTAAAAAAAAAAAAAGATCTGTATTTGCTGTTGTTAAGGAATTCCAGTTTTATAGCACTTTTGTAAGCATGAATTTACATTCCTTCTTGATGGAGTCACTGGGTTTTTAACAATCTACTACAGAACTGATGTGTCTGAAGATGCAGCATGCTCTGTATGAACGTATTTGTATATACATCTACTCTATGAAGTTCATTACTTAGGTCATCTAGTTCTTCAGGGACGCCTTGTAGATCAGAGCTGTCTTGCGTCATTAGGGAATGACTCCTCAATCAGCTCCAGTACACATCGCTCAGAATGGATTATAAAAACAGTATGAGAGTAAAAGTTGACAAAGAAATAGAGAAACTGAAAAGGTGTTACTGGTATGAACCCTGCATTATCTATTGCTGTGGTGCTCGGGGTCAAAGCCAAGGTGGTGCACATGGCACCACAGTGCTCCAGACTGATTTTATTTATTTACTAAAATTTATTTTTATAAATATTTTATGTGATGCCATATAATGTTTCAATACATAACCACATCATAAAATGCTCAAATCAAGTTAAACTCACCTCTCTCCACATAAATTTCGTGTTTATTTACGGTGAAAACATTTCAAATACTTAACTCTAGCTTTATTACAGTATGTTACTATTATCTGTACCCACCCTACTGTCATATAACAGCTCACGTAATTTTTCTTACAGATATCCTAAAACATGGCAATAAAGCTGTAATATATCCCTACAAAGTATTTATTCTTTTATTTATTTTGCAGTCTTAGGGAACAATCCAGAGTCTCTAATTTTATCTACCTTTTTGGTAAGTATCATTGCCTAGACTGGCCTCACCTTTATATAATATTCTATATCAACTTCCCAGGTAGCTATGATTTCAAGCACGAGATACTCCACATGGTGTTTAACTATTAATTTACTTACTTACTTATTCTGATGTGCTAGAGATCAAACACAAAGCCTTGAATAAAGCAGGCAAGCCTTTTACCAGTGTGCTATCCCCAAACTATGGAAAGATTATAGAGTAGTATGAAAAATAGTTTGGTAATTTCTTCTTGTTTTTGCGTTGTTTGTTTGTTTGTTTTTCAAGACAGGGTTTCTCTATGTAATCCTGGCTGTCCTGGATCTTGCTATGTGGACCAAGCTGCCCTTGAACCCAAGAGATCTGCCTGCCTCAGGCTGCCAAGTACTGACATTAAAGCTGTGTGTCAGCATGGCCTGGCTGGAAATTTATTTTAAAACTATGTATGTATTTGGAATACAGCCCAGACATTGTACCCTAGAAATCTGTATCAAAAATATGAAGTTATACAAAAAATATATACTCTTAAAAACCTCAACTGAGAAATAACTCGAATATACTTCAACAAGTGAAAAATTAAGTAAACAATAGTAGATTCATATACCAGAATACTAGTCAATACTAAGAGAAATAATGTTTGCAATAGTCACAAAAACAAAAAGTTTTTCTCAGCAATGATAGGAAAAGATTTAAATTACATTTGTGTGACTATGTGTCCAATTGGACTTTTAATTATCTCAAAATATCTCAAAGATTCAAAGACCTGGAAATTACATGGGTAAGCTTCAGAATGTTTTCTCTTCTTTTTTTTTTTTTTTTTTTTTTGCCTACCTACACTTTTCTGCATACATGAACCACAGCATTCTCAGAGATAACTCATTAAATGTTACAAATCACCACTTTGCAGACTCCCTAAGAAAGAAATGAAACATGACCAATACTGTATGTAATTTACAACATGCAAGTTCATCTTTTTCTCTCTCTCTCTTCGTGGCACACAGCTGTCACCCAAGGCTGGCGGGGGGCCTGCTTACCTCTACCACAATCATCTTTTAAAGTTCTATTTTTACTTTTTCTTTAAGGGATGGGTATATAGCACAGGCTTAGCATTGATGGGGCCCTGTGTTCAATCCTAATACTGCAAAACATAAAATAAAAATATATGAGTTCCAATTTAATCTTACAAATGAAAATAGCTGTTTAAAAAAATTAAAAACACCTTTACTCAAATCTTTCCTAATATCTTTGTTTGCAGACTTACACTGTGGATTTACAATGAGGTAACAGTCCAGTAACCCCACCATAAATAAAAGCTATATTCAAAAATGTATTAAATATACCTAATCTACCATCTGTCCCCACTTGGCAACACAGCACAGTGTGAAGTCTCAGTGGTCCGCCTTATAACCAGCCATGACTCTCTGCCACTGGAGCATCACTAGTCCAGAAAAGATCAAAACCCAAAGTATTTTTATGCTGGTTTTGTACCATCTTAAAACCAAAAAGTCATAAATGGAAATACCCTAAGTTCAGGAAATTCAAAATACATCTTACGCTTTTCAGGCTGAACATATGAATAATTTCCAAGATTTAATAACTGACTGGTAAATGTTGATTGGAGTACTGTTTCACCAACCCACTGATCTTCATAAACAGTCACATCTAAAAATAAAACAAAACAAAAGCTGGTCACTGTCATAAACTCCTTTAGACTGTGGCTAACTTATTAAACACATAGTAATAGCTAAACATAGCAAAACATTACACATATATCTCACACACTAAGCAACTAAACTTCTGACAGGCTGAAAGAATTACCCAAAGGCACAAAATGATAAAACAGCAAATTTCATTTCTGAACCTAGACCTTTGCCTTCTGAGGCATAAGCAAGCCAGGAATTACCTAGTCTAAGGAAAGAGGAGGAAGTAGCATTCCCATTGCCTTCAGCTGAGCTTGCCTTTCCCATCCCAAACCCCACTGATTTTCCCAGCATGCAGCAGTAAGAATGATATCATACAAGGATGGTAGACCACAAGCATTAATGAAATACTGCAGCATTCCCCCTTTCTATCCAGAGGAAATCAAGCCCCAACACCATTAAAAACATGAAGAACTTCTTGGGTGGAACTTCATCACATGAACATAGTCAAGCCTGGATAATATGAAATATATGAACACTACTGAGAATTTGTGGCAGCAAGTTATACACATAGCAAACAAAGGAAAAGCTACACTCTTCCATTGGGCTGCCATCAATAACAAAATTGGTTTTTCCATTTCAAAAGGTGCTGCTGTGGATGAACTTGGAGGCGACCTGAATTCAACACTATTGCACTGGGCCATAAGACAAGGTCATTTACTCATGGCTGTACCAAAAAGGAAATATGGCATAAGTGCTTCGTTAATAGATTGAGAACCTTATAGATGTGTTCACTGGGCCACTTAGTTTGGGCATATATCATTGTGGAATAGCTAAGCAAAAAGACCAGATGTAGATATGATAGATCAGATTGAAGTAACCCCTTTGATGTAGGGAGTTTACAGAATATACATTATACATTCAACTACATGGCTTTTAATGTTTTAGTCATAGAGTGACAAACCATACAAACACTGAGCAGTACTACCAAATATCATAGGCATTGGTCTTCTGGAAGCCAGAGCTAATATTGATGCCCAGAATATCAAGAGTGTATCAGCATTTGACTTGTCAAAGAGGAAAAAGCATGTGGTTGATTGATCATTCACAAGCGGCAAGGCAAGCAAAAGTATACAACACGTTTTTCCTTAGAAAGCTCAAGCTAATTAGCAATTTTGTCAGAAAATGATGCTAAGTACCTCTTTCCTAGTTATCTGACTAGTTGGGCTTGTAGCAGGCTTAAATATTGATTCTTGTCGCATTAAAGAACTACTTCATGGTAGTTACAACTTTTTCAGTTTTTTGATCTTTCAGCCTTTTTGATGCACTGTCCCTTGGAATATACTTGGTAAACAATTTCTAAATGTTACATGTTGTTGTGACGGCATCTTAGGAAAGCATGTCAACTTTTTGCTTCATCTTCTATTCCGTGCCAATAGCGGTACACTATTCTACAATTCTGAAAATTTTTGAAAATCAGATCCAGGGATTATTAAAGCTAAAGAAGAACAAAAGAAAATGACAATAATTGAACTATATCAACAAGACACCTAGATTCCAGCATATTCTCCAATACCTCTCTGATTCAGAAACCAGGGAGTCACAAACACTGTGGTAGATCCAACTGCTGAAAGTGACTGTGTAGGTGTAGGCAGCTACAGACCCTTTATTTCTGCTTGTAATGATCTGCTAGGTGACTTATGGTTGCATTTCTTACTGAGGAGTTGTCATGCATCTGCTTCTATTGCTGATGAAGACCATAACTAAAAGCAAGGTAGGGGAAAAGGGTTTATTTACTCTTACAGCTTAGTTTTTCATTGAGGGAAGTCAGGGCAGAAACCTGGGAGCGGGAACTGAAACAGAAACCATAGAGGAATGCTACTTACTGGTTTGCTCCATAGCTTACTCTCCATTGCTTGCTCAGCCTGCTTTCTTATAGAGCACAGGGCCACCTGCTCAGGAATGGCACCATCCACAATGGCCTGGGTCCTCCCACATCAATCATCAATCAAGAAAATATCCCATAGGTTTATCTACAAGCCAGTCAGATAGGGGCATTCTCTCAACTGAGATTCTCTCTTCTCTGATGACTCTACCTTGTATTGACAAAAATATTACCCAACAGAGGACTTCACTGTGAAATACATTACATTATGGATGGATTTTATATATATTATATATATACATAATAATTTGAATATAATATTAAAATTATTCAAGCTACCAAATTCACCTTGGAATATGTATATACATATATGTATATGTGTGTGTGTGTGTGTGTGTGTGTTTGTGTGTGTGTGTGTATTTTTAAAGACAGGGTCTCTCTATGACATTCTAGCTGTCCTGTAACTCACTATGTAGACCAGGTTGGCCTTGAACTCAAGGATCTGCTTGCCTCTGCTTTCTATGTGCTACCACGACCAGCTCTTTTGAATATTTCCAAACAGCTTTTCATTTCATGCTGTATTACTCATATGTCAGATACACCAAATATCATGTTCAGGTATTGCTACAAGTGAAAGAATGATGGGCTAAGGATGTAACATAATGATAGAGTGTTTGCCTAGCAAAATGTGGCCCTAAGTTCTTATGGCAAAAACAAAACAAAATGGTTTTACCAGGCACGGTAGCATGCCTGTAATCCTATTACTGAGGAAGCAGAAGCAGGACAGCTGCCATGCATTTGAGGTCAGCTTAGGCTATAAGGTAAGACTCTGTCTCAAAAAATAAAAAGAAGGAAAAAATGGATGGATAGATGCTAAAAGATGTGGGCTTTTAACAGATATAACTTCAGGTTACACCATATTTTTAAGATTAGGGGAAAGGTAGTGATTCCATGGCAGTGTTGCCTCCAACAGTAATTACAGTGTGCATCAGTCCCTTGTGCTATGAATATACATGCATATATGGTAGTCTTTAATTTTTTTTATTATTTGTTTCCTTAAGCAGCATGCTAATCATACTCTGTAGATGTTGAAAGTGAAATACTTTAGAGTTAAGAAACATTCTCCATTGGAAAAGAAAAAGCTATAGATCCAAGATAGATAAAGAAAAATCATTTAGAAGTAATTAACACACCAACAGGTAAAAATAACCATGTGAGGGGTGGTCTGAGATGAGTTGGAGAGAAGTTATGAAGGTGGATATGACAGAAATATACTGTACATATGTACAAAGTTCTCAACTAACTCATGGGTAAGCTATAATTGTTGTACAAAGGTATCACAAGTAGTGTAAGACATTAACACTAGTGGCTCCCCAGCACCTAACCCGAAAAGGCTGGCACAGCTCTCACACCTTGTCATTCCAGAGCATGGGACTCCCATGTGTGAATGTGGCTCATCCCCAGCACCATCAGACAGAGAAGCCCAGACCTTCCGTGATATGACGCTCAGAATACCTGCTCTTCAGAAGACGAGAACATCGGAGAAATTTCAAGGAATTTTTAAACTCTGTGTTGGATTCATGAGGCATTAGGGGATAGGGTAGGACAAAACGTGCCTAGTCCTTGCCTCCAGGTTCTCTTTTGCCCGCTCACCTCTAAGGCCCAGCTCTTAGTTCCTTTCCCGCCATTTATTCCGTAAATACTAGGGCTTTCCAACACTGAATCGTAGGTCCTCTTCTTTTTAATTCTGGTAGTAGACACTCTTAGACAATTCAAATTTCTATCATCTTACTTCTGTTGCTAAAAGTCTATCATGTTCTATACAGAACATGTTCTAGAACTTATCTGTTACACAGAATTTTTCAATTCTGAGATCTCTATCAATAGCCAGAATGAGCTATTAAAGGTAAAGATATAATAATGCTCAGGTGAATGCTATCAACGAAAACTGAACGTCACTCATAAATTTCTATGTGAGCATAATTCACTACTTAAGACAATATAAAAGTATAGCTTTCTTTTCTCACAAATTTCCCATTTGTTCCACACAAAAGAAAATAATAAACAAACTAGATGTTTTCTTTCCTTTTTTGTTTGTTTTAGTTTTTTGCTGTTGTTGTTGAGAGGGTTGTTGGTTTTGTTTCATTTTGAGACAGGGTCTCACTATGTAGATTTGGCTGTCCTGGAACTTACTATGTAGACCAGGCTGGCCTCAAACTCACAGACATGCACCTGCTTCTGTCTCCTGAGTGCTGGACTTAAAGGTGTGTACCACTACACTCAGATATGTTTTTTTTTTTTTAAAGAAATAATGTAGCAACAACAACAAAAAGATACCTTTAAAAGGCATTCATAAAAGTAATCTATACTATAATAGAAAATGGTTAACTAAATTCCAGCAGTCATTTAATGTTACCAAGTTAAACAACTATATGGATGTTAGGAGACAAGAACGAGGTAGCAGGGCTAGAAAAGGCCTATAAGAAGATCACAGTAAATGATCTTGAGGTAAAATAGCCTTGATTAAAAGTAGCCACAACAAGTAACAGGACAGGAGCTTACCACAGAGGGCCTCTGAAAGACTCTACCTAGCAGTGTATCAAAGCAGATGCTGAGATTCATAACTAAACCTTCGGCAGAGTGCAGGGAATCATATGAAAGAAGGGGGAGTTAGTATGACCTAGAGAGGTCACGAACTCCACAAGGACCAAATAAGGCACAGGGGTGTTTTATGAGACTGTTTCTCCAACCAAGGACCATGTACGGCTATAACCTAGAACCCCTGCTCGGATGTAGCCCATGGTGGCTCAGTATCCAAATGGGTTCCCTAGTAAGGGAAACGGACTATTTCTGACATGAACTCAATGGCTGGCTCTTTGACACCCCACTCCCCCGTGAGGGAAGAGCAGCCCTGCTAAGCCAGAGGAGGACTTTGCAGCCAATCCTGAACATACCTGATAAACCAAGGTCAGATGAAAGGGGAGGAGGTCCTCTCCTATCAGTGGACTTGGAAAGGGGCAGGGAGGAGATGATGGAGGGAGGGTGAGATTGGGAGGGAATGAGGGAGCCAGATACAGCTGGGATACAGTTAATAAACTGTAACTAATATTAAAAAATAAAATAAACTATAATAAAAAAGAAAAAAGTGGACACAATATTATTTTCCAAAGAAAGAGTTCTTATAGTATGTTTTCAATTTGTAAATAGCTCTACAATTGGGAAGCCATGTAACAGCCAAAAGGAGTTAGATACACTAACTACAACAATAGTATAACAACACATAAAAAGTGTCATGAGGCTATATTACTTCTGTTTGTTATAATCCTGTGTTTATATTCCACTAAAGACTGTTCCTAACAATACAAAGAAAATATACCAAGACACATTAGCTAAAGGTCTTGCACTCCCTGCAAACAATTCAGTGTATAGTGAACATACTGCAATTTTCATTTTCTCAGCTGAGGCTAACAGAGCATGGCTCCATCACATCCTTTCTTAGCTAGGTTAGTAAGATTAACTAACTTCTTCCTAGCTTAATTAGATGTGTATTGGTTTTACTTTATATTTTGTTTGGATCCCCAGCACCCAAGTAAATGCCAGGCCCATGGCAGCCACCTGTGCTCCCAGAATGAAAGAGGCCAAGACACAGGATCCTTAGATCAAGTTGTCTATCTAGACTAGTAGAATTAGTGATCTCTGAGGTCAAGTGACCCTGACTTAATAGAAGCCATCAAGAAAATCCCCTGATCATCAACCTTTGGCCTCCACATGCATGTGCACAGCCTGCACATGTGCCCATAAATCTGCAAACACACAAGTACCCACACACACACAAAATAACAAAAGCAAAATGTGGCAGCATATGCCTGTAATTCCAACATTTGGCAAGTAGTCAGGAATATAAAGAATGCAAGGAAGGTAATCCTCTGCTGAATATAACAGCAAATTCAAGGCCAGCCAGGGCCACACAAAACTCTGTCACAAAACAAGAACAAGAAATAAAGGCCATCAACCACTGTGTCTGTTCCTTCAATAAGAGTTTAATGTACACAGCACTACTGGAGTGAAATAGCAGAAATATTGCCCTTTCATAATAATACTGCTAATAAAGTAAGAGTTAATAAGACATGTATAAACACAGCTACGAGACAGCAAAAAAAGAGTCCAGCACAGGACTCCAACTGACACATGATGGAGGACTGTGACAACTAACCAGGGAAGGCTTCTTGAAGGAGAAAATGAATGGGGAGGCAGCACAGAACGAAGAAGGAAACTAAAGCCCCCAGGGATACTGCAAGTAGATCAAGACACATATTACAAGGGGGTCAGTCACACCCAGGGAAGACAAATGGCAAAAAACGACAGAGGAAACCAAGCTTTAAAACAAGCTACCGCTATACCTTTGATGACTTTACCTGTGAGTAAAATTATATCTCCAAGAAACACTGTAAGTGCCCAAAATGCTGCAGTCCTCCACAGAACAACCCTCTTCTTAATTTCTGATTGATCAGTTACTACAATTGTTGCTAATGGCACTTTAGAGCCAGAGTTTGGTCCAGATTTTATGTTTATTTCCTTCACATGACATGGGGTTAGCACCATGACTAAGCAATTATACTTCTGACTTGTAGAATCACAGTTTTTTATTAATGATATATTTTTTAAGTTCTTCAATTCGGACATGATCCCCTGGGGCATTGCTTTGGCTGACTCTCTTGTATTAGAATCAGTCCTTGGCTTCTTAGACACATGATGGACTTCAGAAAGAGCTTTAGAATGATGGGCACTGTCTTTAGAGGGCCAGCTCCTTTTAGCAGCACTTCGGTGGAAGGTTCTTAGTTGGGAACACAGCATTCCTGAGCTGTACAACTCAACGCATACCTCATTTGGTGGCAGGTTTTCTTCATTACTGAAAAGTTCTTGAGAGCTTATATTTTCTTCAAGACTTTTTCCAGGGTTTATGTGAACATGACTACTTTCTGATTCAGGACAAACAGGACTAAAAAGTTCCAGGGAATATGCTTGGCTTTGCGCATCTTCAGATTCTTCTTCAAATTCTTCACTAGGCTTAATAAAATTACCTTCAGTTGGTCTTACTCCCTGCCTTCCTGTTGGTTCTGTCTCCATGTTTACAGTCCTTTTATTGATACAGTCTTGACCTTTACCATTCCCTTGAGCTAGAAAAGCACACTGGCTAGAGGTCATTATACTGAGAAATTCAGTGTCAGTAGATATTTCCTGGTCTGAGACCTTCCTAACTGCTCCCTCAGATTCTGATTCACAGTGTGTGTCAGAGGAAACGATCTCCTGACTTTGTGTTTCATGATGTGCTGTTGGCACAGGCTTTGTCCTCACAGCTTCTGGCCTTATGTTAATGTATTCAGTACTATAGTCCAAATCCAGTCCAGCCACACACTTACAATCTAACTGACACACATCCGTCTGAAAGTTCTCAACCCGGGCATTTGAGTGATCTTTACACTGCTCATCTATAATTTTCTTATTTTCACACTGAAGCTTTTGATACTTTTCTTCTTCATGTAAACACTGAACTCTGTCCTCATATCCACATATTGGCACATTAGTCACATCATTCAGGTTAGTCTTCTGTAATCTTACACTCTGTGTTTCAGAAGCAGAATATGTAGAGCCTTCTTTCACCTGAGCAGACCTACTCACGTAAGTTGGTAAAAGGTGGCCACTAAGAAGGTCTGGAGGGCCGAGAGCTTCTGAGACTTGACAGTCTTCCAGATTTTTAAGCTCCTGGTTTTCAGCCTTCAGATACAAAGAATGTTGTTTGTAAAAAAGTTGGACTTTTTCCCAGGCATTGGCAGTGGACATTGAGGAAGTCGTTTGCTGTGATATTGTCATTTTCAGTGGAGCAACTGGAGCACCCCAAAAAATGTGAACTTGAGATTCTCGACTCATAATTTCTGATAAAAATAAAAATTTCAAAATTAACTTATTAGTCTTTCTTCCTTTCCTTTCCTTTTTTTTCCCTTTCCTTTTCTTTTTCCTTTCTTTCTTTTCCTTTCCTTTCCTTCTTTCTTTTGGTTTTTGAGCAAGGTTTATCTGTGTAGCCTTGGCTGTCCTGGACTTACTGGAACCTCTGCCTCCCTGGGTGCTGGGATTACACATGAGCACCACCTCACCCAGCTACTACCGTATTCCTGTATCTGATAAAATAACAATTAATCATAATAATAATCAAAATAATCATAATTGTTTTGGTATGCTATTCAATTATAAAATTAGTAACACAAAATTATAAGAAAATCAAATTGGTTATAAGAAAGTCTTCAGTTAAAGACTGAGAAAAGGGCCAGCAAGATGGCTCAGTGAGCAAAGCACTTACTACGTAAGCCTGGCCACCTGAGTTCAGTCCCTTGAAACCCAGGTGGAAGGAGAGAAGTGACTCTCAAAGTTGCCCTCTGCCCTCTACACCCACACCATGGCACACCTAGGCCTACACTCACATATAGATAACACACATACAAATAGTAATCGATTTTAATTTTAAAATACTCAGAGAACAAAGCTAAACATCAAACAAGTATGTTTTTAGAATGTTGATTTCTTGTGCTATAAAATCCTGCCCCATTTAAACAACAATTTAGTTTTAAAGAATAGGCATTTATCTAATTGTATTACATTACCTTTATATATCCATCTTCTTCATTCCATAGTTCTCTCAGTAAGTTTTGGTCCTCCTTTGAACTCAATCTCAAAACCAAAATACAAGGCTCAAACTGAAAGGCAAAGAATAAGATTTTTTTTTCTTTTTTTTAAGTGAGGGTTTCTTTAAAATGTACAGGTGACAGTATAATATTTGAAAATGATTGTTTCTATATTTTTCATTTTTTCTTTATTGGGGAGTGTCTTATGAACACGGCCTTATGTAGTACAGGCTGGGCCTGAACTTGCTACACATCCAAGGATGTCCTTGAACTCCTAAGCTTCCCCTCTGCCTGACAAATGCTGGGTTTACAAGTGTGCACCACCATCCCAGCCTCATCTTTTCTGTAATACGAACAAATGTACTTTAATAACTATGTAATATAGAAAAGAACCTCATCATTTAAACTTTTCTATTAACTACGATAGCTAGTGTAAGTAAATCTGAGAAAAATGTCCTATTAGATTGGTAAAGAATCAAACTGATCACTTGCTTGCTCATTACTAACTTTAATTAGACAGACGTATTCCTAGAATTACTAAGAAACACCGATTATTACAACAGTACGGAGACAAAAGGCAGGCAAAGTTTTAAGCCTGAGGTACTCTTGGCTTGAATCATCACTCTGACTACAAACTGGGCTAGCCTGGGGTAGGCGTGGGGGTGGGGCATGATTATCTGAAAAGTAGTCTTGTTTTAAATTCATCACCATTAATCCTAAAGTGGTCCTAGCAATCCTGTTCCTGCATACATAATCCCTTTTGAAACAACTTTTCTATCTTTTCACTCTTAAATCTCCACCATTTCTTCCCCGTCTTCACATACAGCCGGTGACTATTTACCGATTTCTTTCACGCTTACCAGTATTACTCCATAGAATCTATATTCTCTCCTATCTTCCTGTTACTATGGATGAACTTTCAAACTCGTGAGTGTGTGTGTGTGTGTGTGTGTGTGTGTGTGTGTGTGTGTGTGTGTGTTGTACAGAAACACATGAAGAGGCCAAAGAGACAGAGTATCCTCTACTGCTCTTCCCCTTATTTTCTGAGACAGCATCTCTCAGTGAATCTGAAGTTTGCTGCTTAGGCTAAGCTGAATGGCCAGTAAGCTCCTAGGATCCACCTGTCTCTGCTCCCCCAACACTAGCAGGCCATGCACAGCTTTTACCTGAGTGGCTAGGGACCTGAACTTAGGTCCTCTTGCTTGCAAAAAAGGGGCTCTGACTCCAGCCAAGTAAAATCTGATACTTCAGTGCAAAACTATATCTTCTCCACTTGGGTATCAGATCTCAGTCACGCAGTCCACTAATATCTGTTGAACAAGATAACAAAACATATACCAATTAATTGCATTAACTCATTTTATACATGTTTGAAATATCAAAAAAACTAGAGATATAAATCAGTAGAGGTACACTTGCCTAACATGAACTCTTTAAGTTTGATCTCATGTGCTATGGAAAGAAGAAAGGAAGGAAGGAGAGAGGGAGGGAGGGAGAGAGAGAAAAAAAGAGGGAGAGAAGGAATGAATGAATGAATGAATGAATGAATGAATGAATGAATGTGGCTGTAGTAGAAAATTTTGGTGTCTTTAAAAACTCAGTTACGTTATATAAACATGTTTTTGTTTTAATCTCAGGTGTGGGATATGAGACTGATTCATACTGTCAATAGCAGTAAACTATTTGCCTCGTTAGGGCTCTGAGAGGGGCTCTTTGGCAGCTGTAGATGGTTTAATTCTGAGGACTCTGGAGAGGAAATAAATGCCAGAGCCCACAGAGAGAGAAAAAGAGAAGGGGGGGCTCCTAGAAATAAGGAGGCAGCTGCTGATGCTTCCCATCTGGTGCTCCTAGTTGCTGTTAATGCAGTTTGATGAGAAGATAGAGATATCCTAAAATGAAGATTGGACTTGCCCTAAGGAACCCAATGACTCTAACCAGCAGGAAGCAACTAAAGAGAATTACACCCTCTCTCCCCACTAACCTTTCTCTACTACCTGGTGTTAGAAGAAATTGTGGTAGAGTAGGGAGGAAGAGGCATAGGAACTAAAATAGTTTTTAAAAAGTACACCAACATGGAGCAGGGAGGAATAAGAAGATCCTATGAGCTGGCTGACTGATGGACTGATCTTAAGACAGGGTCTTTATCTTCAGCCAAGTTGTCCCAGAACTCACTGTCTAGGCTAGCCTCAAGCCCATAGTGATCCTTCTATTTAGCCTCCACCATGCTGGTTCCCATTATTCATGTAAACTCTTCACTTTGAAGAATAACTGGCAAAACAGTAAAACAGGATGTGCAAGAGTGATGACAGTAGATTTTCTAAGCACATATTTAAAATAAACTAACAACAGCCCATGAAGAAAACAATAGAATAGAAACATAGAATACCTAGAGAGATACTACTATATTGCAGCAAAAACTCTATGAGGCAGAGGTCACATGATCTACAAAGTGAGTCCAGGACAACCAAGGCTACACAGAGAAACCCTGTCTCAAAAACAAACAACAACAACAACAACAGATCTCTGTGAGGCAGAGGTCGCATGGTCTACAAAGTGAGTCCAGGACAACCAAGGCTACACAGAGAAACCCTGTCTCAAAAATAAACAACAACAACAACAAAAAACACCACCATCAAAAACAACAAAAAGATGTGGTCCCTCAGCTTCCTGCTGTCATGCCTCACTCCAAACCATAAGCCCAAGTAAACACTTCCTTTTATAAGCTGCCGTGGTCACCGTGCTTTACCCACAGTAACAGAAAAGTTACTAATACACCATGTGAAGGTGAAACAAAGAGAAATGAGTGTAATGTTGTCCTCAGGCCTCCACACATGCACCAAGGAGGCACTACCCACCCCAACCACACACACATATAATAAATATTTTTTAATAAGGTGGATGGCTCCTTAAGAACATATAAGACTGACCTCTGACTTCCACACACAAAAGCACATGCCTGTGTACATCCACACTACACATAAACACACAGAATAAAACAACCAGGGAAGGATTAAAGCAGTCAGTAGTGGGGATGTGCTAAGGGTACTCATAAAGCATCAACTATATTGATGAAGTTTCATTTTTAAAAACTGGATATGGTTACAGAGATATTTGTTATAATGTTCAAAAGTATTTATATTAAAAATCCTATACAGAAAAACATCAATGATCAAGATTGCCTGGCTACAGTAGCACACTTTTGTAATTCCTGTACTTTGGAGGCAAACGCAGCAGGGCTAACAAGTTGGAGGCCAGCCAGGGCTACAAAGCTAGGCTCTGTCTCAAAAAGATTGTGAAGGACCAAGCTTATACATGATTGTTTTAAATAATTCTAGATTTAATTTTATGATCTATGATTAATATGTATTATTTTTCACAATGCCAGTCCTTTTTTCCTTGGTCATTCAAGCATTTCTTTCATAGTCTTCAGACAGAATAAAATGTTCCAAGAATATAGAACAATAATTCTATTGCTGATATTTAATATAAGAGATGAGAATAATGATAGCAGCTAATAAATTCTATCAGCTAAGTGCCTGGAGATGGCTGAGTGGTTTTGACTACATATTGCTCTTCCAGTGGACCCAAGTTTGGTTCCCAGCATCCATTGCAGGTTGTTCCCAGGCTAACTCTACCTCCATGGAATCCTCCTGGTAATCCTATGCTTTCTGATGCATACACACATGTACATGTACACACACATACACAAATAAAATGAATCTTTTTTAAAAGTGTTTAAGAAAAGTATTAGGAGTTAAAATAAATACAGTACAATGTTCAAAGAGCTTATAGTTTATAATAGTGAAGTACTATGGAGACAAAGTTATAGCAGTTTTAGGTGTCACATTATAACTCATTGGAAACCAAAGAACTAAGCATTCTTATGAGGACCAGAAAATCCACTTTCATTTAACCCTAAAGGACCTACACATGCAATAACTGGTGTATCAGGCTTTTCTAATTTATATGTCATTACTAGGTTCACCACAAGGGGGCCCCAAATAGCACTGCAAAAAAATTCAAAATGCTATCAAGAGGAAGAGAGAATACATACATGGCAAATCAAGGCACAACTAATAACCTCTCCTCTCACGGATCTTTGTGTATTCTTCTCTAATGGTTTCTTCTCTTGAGCCTATCTTTTGAAGGGGAAAAAAGGCTCTATGTGGCCTCTTTGTCCTCATTTTTCCTTCAGCCCACTTAAATTTGTCCCCCATTACAATAATTTTGCTTCATGAAAACCTTCCAATAGACAGATCAAAGGTCAGCTTGCAAACCTCACCTTACTGTCATTTGTAACTGTTTATGAATCCTTTCCTCAAACCTACTTTTTTAATTTTGTGAGACCACCAACATAGAACTACTTTGAGTTTTAAAAGTTAGATATGTATTAATTTAATAATCAAAGTTACTTGTCAGCCATTATGCTAGACACTGCAAAATCAACAAAATCAACAAGAATACGGCTATTTAAGTTTATAGTATAATGAGAAGGATAAAGTGATGATCCTCAAAGAGAGATAAGAAATCATGCAGATTTAAAAGCAGGATGTAAACAGAAAGAAGTGTAGGTCAGCAAAATGAGTATGAAATTGACTATCACTTTCATCTTTCATATGCTCTTAGAAATATGATAAGTTACAAAGTTTAATAATGTTCATTTAAAAAATGCAGTACAGCCCAGAATCATGCCCATTTCCCAAACCGGCCCAGAAAACTATCCTAATTGTCTTACCATACTGCTGTATGTTGTCTCCAAGATGGGCAGAAAGAATGTAAAGCATTCACTCCCCTGCCCTGTGTCATCACTTAGCATTTTCTCAGTATCTTGCAATCTAAATCTGACTCTCACTTCCCATCTCTATTAAGACAATAACAAAGTCCAAGTTGCCAAATGCATACTCACAGCACTCCAACTGTGAAACACTCTGTTCCTTAGTTTCAGAACACTGCTCTTTCCCAACCAGTTCTTCCACTGGTCTGATTTTTCTTTTCCATTTCACACAACTAACTACAGAACTGAATCCAAGCCTAATCATTTAACTGCCACATATCTGATTATGCTTTCCAAGTTTGTGCTGACCTAACTAACCCTTCTTCAGAGTCAGACCTGTTCATATTTGTAGGTTATTACATTTGACAGTATCACAAAAGAATCAAAGATAAAAATTCAAAGACCATCCAGGCACGATGGCACAGGTCTGTAATCCCAGCACTCATGGAGGCAGAGACAGGCAGAATTCTGTAAGTTCAAGGCCCGCCTGATCTACAAAGCGAGCCAAGGACAGCCAAAGCTACACAAACAGACCCTGTCTTGGATGGATAGATAGATAGATAGATAGATAGATAGATAGATAGATAGATAGATTCAAAGACCTCCTTCCCTTCTGCACAGGGACAGATGGTGGAACACACAGGATAATACAATCAGTTTTGATTCAGAAATGTATGGGATAAATCCAAATTCTGTAAAACACATGGTTATTTATAAATGACAGTTATTTCACCATGCCTTCATTCATTTGTCTCAGCAAATAACTCTGAGTGTGGGACTTCCACTATTGAGGAATTAGCTAGAAAATGGCCTTGATTATTTATAACTGAGTGATTATAAAAAAAAAAAAAAGGCCAGTGAGATGGCTCGGAGAATAAACGTACTTACCAAGCAAGCCTAATAAAGGCCTAAATTCAACCTCTGGAATTCACAATGGAAGGAAAGAACCAACTTTTGAAAGTTGTCCTTTGACCTCCCCATGCTATGATATGCATGTATCTACACACACACACACATACACCAAATATTACAGTCTTTAGAATTACAGCCAAGGGTGCTGTTTCTAAGTGTAAGTTATAGGAATGATGAGTATGTGAGTAGGAGTGGACAGTGGCGAGGAATGGTAGGAGTAATAAGATACTTATCATAGCAATCTTACATATAAGTAGTCAGAAATGAGTTTCAATGATTCTAAGCTATGTTTTGGTTGTACTCAGAGGGTTAAAGCCCATTAAGATACCAGGTGAAACCAGCAAGTACATATCCATTACCACAGTTAATAATTACACAATTTCTCAATCTGCAGAAGGCCACCAGTCAGAAAGTCTAATACATTAGTCTTTATCTTTAGAGTGGTCAGAGTCTGATGAATGGGTCAAAGATTTATAAAACAGGATGAACTGTATCAGCAGGTTTTGTCTTTGCCGAAACTACAACTAAAAACATGCTTCTTACAAACTCTATGTTATAAAAAGAAACTATTCTTCCTTTACCCCATAAATAACCAGAAGACCTCACAACTGCAATAGGCCACAG